CATGAATAGGGAAGATGTGTCAGTAGTGATGTGAAGGTTCCTGTTACATCTAAAACCTTTTGATGTGCATATGGGTTTGTGTGTGTAATTGGGTAAAAACTGCTTGGATGTGCTATAATATTTTATAAGAATTTCTCATTATGAAACACATATTAGAGTAAGATGTAAACACCTTCTCCCAAAGCTCAAACAGGATAATTAGCATTATTTGTGAAAAGGCATCTGAAATCAGCAGAACTGCCGGTCAAGCATCTGCTGACTGCAGCGTGTGAATACATTAGACACGGTTCATCTGTAATCCATCCAATTGCTTATTGAACTGATATTGACAGTTATGGAGTAACTTTTTTGCAGTAGTAGTTTCCAGACTTCAGCCTCACAGAGCTGCATTATACTAACAAAACATAAAGTTACTTAAGGAGTAAGCAATGTATTTTATAACCATAATTAGTATACTATTTATAATGTAATCAGAGCAGTATTTTTTTGGCTCATAATCAGAGATTTTTTTTAATAAATCAAAGCTATAATTTATTCCAGATCCTAATATACTATTTTAACTGCAAAATAACAGTGATTATACCAGTGATGAACATCAGCGCTTATGTTTTATGATAAAAAAAATTTAACACTTAACTACTTCTTGGCTGTTAACCTGAATAAATGGACACTTTCTATTGTTCTCATACCTTGGCTGTGCAACTTTTGAAGTGAAATGCCACAACCTGAAAGCCAAAGTCATTGTTTATTCGGTGTTCAGCCAAAAACATGTGCATAGTACTTGGATACAAGACATGGAGCCAATTTTGGCTTGGAAAATCCAATATTACAGCTGGAACATGTCTGTGTTGAGAATTCACAAAGTCTTTTAGCTGACTAAAACACATTTAACCCAAAACTCCATCAACCAAATGACACAGTAAAGCAATCAAAACATTTCAGTGACAATACAGCTAACGGCACAGCAAAGCCAACTGTCAAAAGTCAAAGATAAAGTCCTAAACCATGTACAGTCATCCAGTGTAATGAATGTTTGCCATACAACATAGGTTATAAAACTTCGACGACAGAGAAATGGGGTGAAAAGGTATAGCAAAATAAAAGTGCATGGAGAGAGATGGAGCAATGACGAGTTATAGAGGGAGAACTCTGTGTCCGAGAACATGGGTCCAGTCAGGCATTAAATCAACCCTGGTCATGGTTTTGAGAGCATCTGCCCACTGCAACACAGAAAACACCTTAAAAGCTCTGTGGCTTTTGCTTCCTGCTTTTAAGGGTCGGTATTGCCATCCGGTATGTGTCCCCCAACAGAAATGGCCTACTCAGTGAACTTATTTGCCACAGTCACTTTGACAGAGAATAACTTCCCTGACCTATGCTACTCTGACAGTTCCACTGTGTCTCAATACTGATGCAGACCTCTGACCTATCAATTTTGAAGTAAATTTCATGATGATTTTCAGGGCCCCCCAACATTCTATGAAATATTTAATTATAATATATATATTTAAATAAATACATGAATTTTAATGAATCTGGGTTGAAAATTTCCCACCCAAATGATCATTAAAGTAATTAGTATATACATTTCAATTTAATATGTAAATTTAAATGTGAGGGGTTAAAAGTGCATGAAATAATGTCACAAAAGTAATAAATACATGAGTAAATAAATAAAAATGGTAAATACTTTTTTTCTTGATGAAAACAAAAAGGTTTTTTTTTTCTTATGCTTTCAAAATTAATAGACAAAATAGTGTAAAATGGCATTCATACAAAGAACTCGTGAAGCCAGAAACGGTCACTTACACACTCTCAACACACCTCAAAACAGCATGTTTTAGTGCTAAGTGACATAAAAAATCTCTCAGAAGTTACCTAGGCTGGCACTCCTGTCTATTGGGACATCTTGCCTTCACTTTAAAACCTTAATTTCAACTAATTCATCATGTAGTTGACATTTCATCCAAAGTGACTTACAGTGCAGTTTCTACAGGGACAGTCCATCTGGAGTAACCCAAGGTTAAGTGTTTTGATCAAGAGTACAATGGTGATATTTCACAGATCAACCGTTGTGGAATTTGGACCTACAGCCTTTCATTTACCAGTCCACCACACCATTCGATTGGTTAACCATCCGTGGGGTTAAACTATTCATACGTCTGAAAGTTCCCCTATTCAACAGAAATCTGGTCAACTTTCAAATCCCAACCTGTCTAATCTTCCCTCCAAGAGTTTATTAGCGGACGTCTCTCAGGCTTGATGAGAACGGCGTTCTCATTATCCATACACACAAACAAGGCTCTTTAAATTACATCCTCAAGGTTGCAATTACTGCTTTTGAAAATGTGTTAATTAGCATTCCTTGAGATAATACCACAATGAGCTGACTGATATTTAAATTTGTAATTAGTTAGACAGAGAGACAGATAGATAGATGAAGAAGAAAGGCGAGGGGGGAGGAAGTGAGAGTGAGAAATGAATAGGAGCACTCGACACACAACAAGCCTACTCAGTGTTGCTAATGAATGCATTATACTGTTTAACAAGCCTAATTTGTATTTAGAGTTCTGAGGATGAATTAGCATGAAGGCTCCCAATGCACAGAACAGATTTGAACAGCCAGTTGCTACAGTTATTTCACATTAGGGAGTTCATACTGTATTTGGAGAGATCGACTGTAATTGTTGTAAAGCGCTTAGTTTTTCAAGTCATATTACAGGGAACATCGGTGTTAAGAGTTCTGGGTGTCGGTGTGGTCGGTGTCGAAAGGAAGGATAAAGAAAATTTGGTTATTTGTCCAATTGACAAGGTGCGTTCCATTAACAAAGGCAGTGATTGCATCTGAATACTTGTGCAACCTGTGTTTTGAAACCCCTCGACTGCAATTATAATCATTCCATCCAACTAAACAAAGTGGGGAGAGGATGACGAAGTAGTTAAAAAAAAGAGTGGTTGAATATGAAAAGATATTGACACTCAACAGAGAGCAGGAAGGAAAGTGATAAAAACCTCTGAGGAACAACACTTATCTTGTTTTCTGACTGAAGAGACACTGAAGGTGACCTCCAGGTACATCCTCCATTAGCAGAGCTATTAGAGTGGGCACGGACACACAGATCTGCTCTGACACATTGCCCCCAGGACCATCACCTTCATATATACACACTGTGGCAAACTTAATGCTAACACGCACACACCCAGACATGCAGAAACCTGACTACAGATATCTTGGAGAGGATAAACAGTACAGCTTTTCTAATACAGCAAAATTTTTCACACTAGTCATGGCTGATTAGGCTAGCTAGTGCTGTTTTGGTACTGGTCTAGCTTGTTGATTCACCTTAAGGAGGCAATAAAACAAGAAGTGCTAGCAATACGAAGTTTCAAACATCATCTAGAATAGTACAAGCTTGAACAGAGAGGGATTTATGAAAGTATAGAAGATTTCTTTCTTTTTTAAAAGAGTTAGCAAGATGCAGTTAAATACTAATTCAAGAGGTTTTTAAATAACGTTAGGGGCTTGGCTGTCCATATAGTGTTAAGAAGATCATTCTATCAGCAAGGAACAGTGAATGAGAAGGTTCTGGAAAAGTGATTTTGTGCCTCTCAATATATTTTGTACCTCTCAAATAAATCTAACACAATGAGAAACTCTTGGCCCTGAATTGGCTACAGGTACAAGCAAGACCATAAATGGAGTGATGGCAGAACAAAGCACATTCTGAGAGCTGTGGTCTCATGTCCTGTATTACACAAAGAAAATCTGTTTACAAAATCAAAAATAACCACTTAAAAGACTGAAATAGATCAGCTGGTGAGATCCGGTGCAGAGAGCTGTTCAAAAAAACGCATCTGGATGATAAGATGGGTAATGGCACTCCCAGTAAAATGAGCACAGCCTGAGGTGCCATGAAATTTGCAATAATTAGAAATCATCTCATTACACAGCAATGGCATCAGAAAGAAAAAGCTGATCAGAGATGCCTTGCAGTGGCGCTTTTTCAGTGCCCATCATAAAATATGCTTCAATGCGGTCACACTGAATATTGTGCCCTAGAAAGTGACAGTTTTACTTGCACTACTAATACCCTGCTAATAACAGAATTCATGCTCTGCAGAGGAAAAGATTGTATAAAAAATACATACATACATTTAAATTACATATATTCATACAGGTGCATCTCAATAAATTAGTATGTCATGGAAAAGTTCATTTATTTCAGTAATTCAACTCAAATTGTGAAACTCGTGTATCAAATAAATTCAATGCACACAGACTGAAGTAGTTTAAGTCTTTAGTTTACATTTACATTTACATTTAGTCATTTAGCAGACGCTTTTATCCAAAGCGACTTACAATTGGGGGATACATAAAGCGATTCTTCTTAAAGAGGCAAACAGACATAAGAAGTGGTTGTAATACCAAGTTCTTAGACATTGTTCAAATAAGTACAAGCTAGAAAGAGAAGGAATAAATAAAGAGAGATAAAATTTATTTTTATTTTTTATGATGAAGTCAAGTAGCTTCGAAAGAGATGAGTTTTCAAGCTGTCGCTTGAAAATTGTCAGGGATTCAGCATTCCGGATAGGGGTGGGAAGATCGTTCCACCAGCCAGGAGTGGTGAACGAGAATGTTCTGGAAAGTGATTTTGAGCCTCTCTGTGATGGCACCACGAGGCGTCGCTCACTAGCGGATCTCAGACTTCTGAAGGGGATGTAAATTCGTAGTAGTGAGTGGAAGTAGGCGGGTGCTGAGCCTGTGGCTGTTCTATATGCAAGCATCAATGTCTTGAAATTGATTCGGGCCGCAACCGGTAGCCAGTGCAAGGAGATAAAGAGAGGTGTAACATGGGAATAAAAGCGAGGCTCCTATCTTCTTGAATGGGGGAAACCAAAATCTACCAAATTTGTCAAGATTACATTTCAAGAATATATTTCAAGACGGCTATAAAAGCTAACAACAGCAATATCAAATACAAATTGTATTGTTATATCAGGCCAGTCCAGTTAATGTGCATGCACTCTCTACAGTAAACAAACTCTATCAAAAAGGCAACAGAGTGCAACATTCGGTTTCTGGAAGTAAAAAAATGCATTCATTTTCTCCATAGAGAATTGATTTTTAACAGTTTTGTGAAAACCTTTCAAGACAAACCCTCCATCAGCCTCAAGGTTATTAATTGTTGGTATAAGCTTTTGTTGAAGGCATCAGTCAGTTTTATTTTCTTTTAATAGTATTTAATCGCCTAATTCCAGGTAAAGAACACTACTCACAAATCCTGAAGAGAACATACACAGAGAAACATTTGATTAAGAGAATTAAAGCAAACAAAGAGCTCATCAGCTGACTACCCTATATGTGATAGCACTCTGTGAACAGCCAGCTTCTTTGGCAATGAATGTTTGTGGCTCCTTGTGAAGGGTGTCAATGATTGTCTTCTGGACAACTGTCTGATCAGCAGTCTTCCCCATGATTGTGTAGCTTAGTGAACCAAACTGAGAGACCATTTTGAAGGCTCAGGAAACCTTTGCAGGTGTTTTGAGTTGATTAGCTGATTGGCATGTCACCATATTCTAATTTGTTGAGATAGTGAATTGGTGGGTTTTTGTTAAATGTGAGCCAAAATCATCACAATTAAAAGAACCAAAGACTTAAACTACTTCAGTCTGTGTACACTGAATTTATTTAATACACGAGTTTCACAATTTGAGTTGAATTACTGAAATAAATTAACTTTTCCACGACATACTAATTTATTGAGATGCACCTGTAGCTGCCTTCCAATGCAAAGACAGTAAATCAGTAAAGAGTGTCTAGTGTCTAAATAAACATCATTATTCAACCTTTGTTTTATTAAAAAATAATATCAACATTTGTCTTGACTTCACCGATCACCTTGGATATATATTTTTTAATTAAGTTTGTCGCAGTGCTGGGATTGCCTCATTCCCAAATGATGCATGAGATATTGCTTTAGAATTTGGACAACAAGCTATCTTATAAGGCAACCAACTGTTGCTGCTTACCTTTTGAAAAAGCCTTCATGTGGAAGTGTTGTTTAAAATGCTGTCTGCGTAGGCAAAGTATGTTTTGGAACAGAACTTCTATCTAGTGTGTCTATGTACTTCCCATTAAGTGTAAACCCTGAAGCTCTTTAAAAACAGGTTAGTAAAAATGACTAGCAAAGCAGTCCATGCACTAAAACCCATGCCGATGCAACCACCCTTTACAAGCCAGCGGGGAAAGAAGGTATTTTAAGATCAAACATCCCACCTAAGCCTATTTTACATCCTGTGGTGAAGAGGAGAACATCCCTGCCATAGTTTGTGCCACTGAGGACTGCTAAGACAGATGCGGAGGTTCATACAGATTGCAGAATAGCTGGCAGCAGCCAGAGGAAGCCGCTAATGTCAGGGAAACACAGTGACTCCATCAGAACTCCTCTTGGCACTCTTCACTGATAAATCTGCTGTATGTGAGGAAATCGGACTTGGAGGACTGGCCTTTTCGCCCCTTTTGAATGAATTAGAATAGAATGTTAAGACAAGCAGTCTGCTTGAGTTTGCTGGACAAATGAGGTTGTTTGTGGATGCTGATCTCTCTTAAACATCATTATTCAACCTTTGTTTTATTAAAAAATAATATCAACATTTGTCTTGACTTCACCGATCACCTTGGATATATATTTTTTAATTAAGTTTGTCGCAGTGCTGGGATTGCCTCATTCCCAAATGATGCATGAGATATTGCTTTAGAATTTGGACAACAAGCTATCTTATAAGGCAACCAACTGTTGCTGCTTACCTTTTGAAAAAGCCTTCATGTGGAAGTGTTGTTTAAAATGCTGTCTGCGTAGGCAAAGTATGTTTTGGAACAGAACTTCTATCTAGTGTGTCTATGTACTTCCCATTAAGTGTAAACCCTGAAGCTCTTTAAAAACAGGTTAGTAAAAATGACTAGCAAAGCAGTCCATGCACTAAAACCCATGCCGATGCAACCACCCTTTACAAGCCAGCGGGGAAAGAAGGTATTTTAAGATCAAACATCCCACCTAAGCCTATTTTACATCCTGTGGTGAAGAGGAGAACATCCCTGCCATAATTTGTGCCACTGAGGACTGCTAAGACAGATGCGGAGGTTCATACAGATTGCAGAATAGCTGGCAGCAGCCAGAGGAAGCCGCTGATGTCAGGGAAACACAGTGACTCCATCAGAACTCCTCTTGGCACTCTTCACTGATAAATCTGCTGTATGTGAGGAAATCGGACTTGGAGGACTGGCCTTTTCGCCCCTTTTGAATGAATTAGAATAGAATGTTAAGACAAGCAGTCTGCTTGAGTTTGCTGGACAAATGAGGTTGTTTGTGGATGCTGATCTCTCTCTGGGTACAAGCTCCAAGACGAATGTAAAATGTGACAGCGAATGAAACGGGCTGAAATAGCAAACAAGATGAAGGCTGGATAAGATGTGACAAGCCTCAGCGGCAAGAAAGTCACAACACTACCTTTGCTTATCAACTGCACAACAAAGCAAGAAGCGTTGTGAGTGAAAACCTCTTCTCTTTTCCAAAAACCAGTGAACTGATGCAAAGGCTGTTACAAAAAGCAGGTATCTTAATAAAAATATTTTTTGAGAAGTCAGAGAAGGCAATCAACTAAGACAAGCATACCAGAATCAACTAAGACAAGCTTAGTGAAAATGAACCCAAAAAGGCAGACAAAGTGAGAAAGATTATGATTACAATATACAGTATTTGTATAATTCGTTGAATACTGAGAAATATTGAAAAATACGTAATAAAAAGAACAGACCAAATTTTTGTGTGTACTGTGTATATTGTATATTTATGCTTATGTCATTTCTCTTGCTTCACCTGTAATTAAATCAATAGTGAGTCAAGTATCTTGTGCACAGTGCACTATGCTATGTAGAGCATGTCACATATTACTTGTCAAAAGGGCAAAATGTGTGTGTGTGTGTGTGCACATACATATATATTAAATTGATCAAAATGTACAATAAAGACATTAACAATGTTACAAAAGATTACATAAAGGCTGTTCTTTTGAACTTTCTGTTCATCAAAGAACCATAAAAAATGGCTATGTAACACCGAAAAATGGAGTAAAGGTGCTGAAAATTCAGCTTTGGCATCACAGGATGAAATTACATTAAAACAATTATATGAAAAAATCTTATCAACCCCAAACTTTTGAATGGTACAGTATATAATTACATATTATTGTAAACGTTAGGAACAGCTGCACAATCTGATTGGCTGAAAAGCCATGCTTTTGTGTTACATTTTGTTTATTATGAAATGTAGTGGTTGTACTTTGTGTTTGGAATATTTCATACTCTTAAAGAAAGCAGAGAGGAAACTGTGGTGGAATATGAATGTCTCACCACTATTTTGGTGTCGCGCGGTGTGTTCTCCGGGATCGTGACCCAATATTCTGCATGTTCCCACTGCGGGGGCTGGTTGTGCACATTGGTGATGATGACAGTGAGGTCGACCGAGCTGCTCCGACTCCCTCCGTCTGTAGCGATGATCTGCTGGCTGATCCGTGATGTCTGTCAGGACAAGAGACAGGTGATATAATCCAGCCTAGGGGTTTATCAGCATACACTGTAATAATACAAGTTGTCACTGATACCGGTGATGACAGGTGAAGTTTTTTCTGTCAACGGAGGTTCAAAGAGGAGAGAAATCCCTGATACTTCCACCTGAAGAATTGGTCTCCATTATCCATTGGATGTTTCACATCCAGAATATCATGTACAGTAGCTAAGACTCTAGATGTTTTTTTTTTTTTACTTTAATGATTCCTTCAAATGACTCCTACTAATTGAAAAGCACTTCTAAAATTGAGTCAGCAGTAAACTTTGCTTAACTGGCTCCAAAATTTTGTGTTGAACACAGCCTGTCTTTCTGTCAGATAGCGTTTTAATGTCAAATCAACCACCGACTTCTCAAAGCTTAAATATCCAGCAAAGAAATTAGACAGACAGCCATTTGTGGGCAGAAAAGTGAAGACGGTGGCATTTCTGCTCAGACCAAATACACACATACACAAGAATGGATGCTTCTTCAACTATGGAAACTTTTGGCCTTATAGACTTACAAAATCAATTCTTAAAACAAATTTCACACTCTCGCTAGTTTAATTTGTAAATTAGTATTTAGTAGGGGAAAAATTGTTGGTCATGTTGGAAATGATGCCATAAGAAGTTAAATAAATAGAATAAATATTAAAATGGTTTATGTGTTTTTCACTCTGTATCGACACTATTGTTTCATATTTTTATGATTGATTTTTATAGTCTAGTATTGAAAGTCTGGGTCTCAGTGAAAAGTTACACAAAGGTGAAGGCATGGTAATACGTTTTCATATAATGAAAAGAAAAAAGGAAAGGAAGAAAAATTATGTTGTTATATGGCAAGATCACTCTCCAAACTGAATAAAGGAAATCATACATATTGTTATGCCTATTATAACAGAACGCTGTCCCTCCAGACTTAAGGCAGACTTAAGGTTTGTATGGATATATATATATATAGCATCTCTTTGGGTCCCTACAATGTTTAGTGAAGTGAAAAGTGACGTGACATGTGGCCAAGTATGGTTACCCATACAAGGAATCAGTGCTCTGCGTTTAACCCATCCTAAGAAGGGGGGGGGGGGGGGGGGAAAGACTGCATGTCCCAGAAACGTTTCAATCTTTCCCTTTAATAGTTAATGAGCTTTTTCAGTACCGCTTTAAATGTGATGAAAAGGAATTCTGACATCAAACTTACTGAACTTATATTTGCAATTATAAATAAAATCACTTAGAAGAGCACAGCATATTTCTCACACTCCTAGGCTTAGCGAGCTTTCCAGGATTGCAAACGATTGCATCTAAAAATGATTAGTGACACGTTTATACTGTGTTCAGCGCATTAAAGCTCACCTTGCTCAGACTGTTATGTATTTTTAATATTGAGGTTTAATGTGTATTGACTACACCCAGGAATCTTGGACTTGTGAATTTGTTAAGCTTGCAAAATCCTTACTGCCCTTAAGTGCAATGTTAAAGGTCCATGTATAAATGTTTAAAGAGTCTACAGCTACAACCTGAGTTGGGACTATGTCATGAATGCCTTCTTGCTTTCCTTTATATATGCAAACAAGCAGAGGAACATATCTTAAGTACAGCCAACAGATCCTATCACTACAGAAGACCATTTGGAAGATTTCATTTCATAGTAACAAATTTAAAAAGTGTCTCTGTAGAAAAAGCTTTTACTTTAGGATTAACATAAGAAAAGTGTGCTGCCTTGTACACTGTAGCTATCATTGGCGTCAGTTTGACCAGGTCTTCAATAAGAGTTGTTCAGTGGTTCTTACATTGGTAGCGGCTGTTCTCAAACTTGGGGTCGTTGTCGTTCTGGTCAGCGATGAGGACAGTGATCTGACAGATGCCGATGAGGGGCTCCTGTGCTTCATCCGTAGCCGTGACCGAGAGTGTATACTCTCGCTGCCTCTCTCGATCAAAACTTACCGCCGTACTGATCAAACCTGCACAACACATACAATGCACATAGATGCAACTCATTGGTGAATTGCTTTTTTATAGATTTCACAAGTTTAATGCAACTAAATGGCATGAATTCATAAACTTTTTTTAGCACACATTAGGATACCAAATTGAAGTCACTCTGTTTCGCATCTGAACAATTAAAAATTTAAGAGAGAAATTAACAATTAAAAAAAGAAATTTCACACACACACATATATATATATATTTTTTTTTAATGTATATTTTATTAAATATAAATAATATCAAATCTGAATAATATTTAATAATTAAATATAAATAATTGTTTGTGTTACATACATCTTAATGGTGTCCAAAAATAAAGAAATGTATTCTACTTATGTTTAAAGAATGAGGTCCATTGACTAGAAACACGTGTCAGCTAAGGCTCAATTGCGTGTAATCTATGATCTGGTAAAGAAGGAAGGAAATACCTGTGTCAGGGTTGATAGTGAACCCGGGTGAGGCCCCGTCCCTCTGCATTATCCCGTACTTGACCTCCCCATTGACCCCAGTGTCGGCGTCGTGAGCCTGCATGCGCAGAACAAAAGTCCCCGGGGGCTGATTCTCCAGGACCAGTGCATTCACGCTGTAGTTATGACACTTTAAAGGAACCAGAGTTTCAGACATGGGTAATAATACAAGAAATACAAGAAATACCAGAAATACGTTCTTTGCAAATTCCTTGGCAAAGGCCAATATCAAGATCTCAAACAAAACTAAACAGTACTAGATTAATGCTGGACATATGATTTCTCATAATAATAGATAAAGAGCAAGAAAAGCGGGAACAGGACACCAAGACATGACGACAGAGAGAATGAAGTTTGTATTTAGGATAAAGTGTTTATAAATTCCTCTTTTGAAGTTCATAATAGGAGCACACACACTCATAATGAGGCATCAACCTCCCTCTTCCTCCTCCTCCTCCTCTTGCTTTCTCATCATGCTCTCATTACAGAGCGGGCATCTGGTGAGCGGTGCCCACAAGGGAGTGGCATGTCAACTTAAGGTGATTAATCAAGTGACTAGATCGATACCGGGGCTAAAAGCTGGAATTAGCCTCCCTCCTAGTCTCTGAAGAGAATTCTTCAGCTTTGCACTTCACACCTCTCACTGTCTTTAGACACACACACACACCCTTCTGAGAGGGCTTAGGGAGGATTTCTCAGTTTAGCAAGGGAAAAGACTTGAACAGGTAGTCTATTGCCATAATCTGCGGTGCTATTAGGAGTGCCGGCAACCAGCAACTGCAAAGCAGGGTGAGGGTTTGCATTCGGCTGAACGTCAAAAAGCATGTGTGGCCAAGATGAGGCAGTGTGAACCTCACAAGCTATCAAGAACATGTCATATTGGTCATATTGCACTTCAAAATCAAAAGAAATGATATCTTAAAATGAAAATGAAAGACCATTCATATTTTTGCATTGTGACAATTTTCATTATGTTTCTGTGGAAGCCTGTTTCACCTACGGAATAAAGAAATAAAAAAAGTAATTGTGACTTTTTATTTAAGAAATTTAGACTTGGTTTTTCTGAGAAATTATGAGACATAAACTCAGAATAGCAAGATATAAACTCAGAATTCTGACTTTCTTTTTTGCAATTTTTTTTCTTAGACTTTACATCTCACAATTATTGTTTTTTTGAACCATACAAATAAAAAAAGGTAATTGCAAATTTTTATCTCACAATTCTGACTTTTTTCTTGTGATTCTGTGTTTATATCTTACAGTTCTGACTTTTCTTCTCAGAATTGCCAGACATAAACTTGAGACAATTGCCAAAGGTAGTAAGGACATCGATAGAATAGTCCATGTAACATCAGTCGTTCAACTGTAATGTTACAAAGCTATGAGAATACTTTTTGTGTGCAAAGAAAACAAAAATAACGACTTTATTAAACAATTTCTTCTCTTCCGGGTCAGTCGATGCGCTTTCACAAGAGTACCACAACATAAGCATGTGATGATGCTGTTGACGCAGGAGCCGGCGTTCTGATGTAGAACCCAGATGCACTGTGACTTGTTTGCAAGCAGAGGAATGTACACGCATGTGTTGTGGTACTCTCGTGAACGCAACACGGAAGAGAAGAAATTATTGAATGAAGTCTTTATTTTTGTTTTCTTTGCACAGAAAAAGTATTCTCGTAGCTTCATAACATTATGTTTGAACCACTGACGTCACATGGACTATTTTACCGATGTCCTTACTACCTTTCTGGCCCATAAAACATTTCAGTTCAGTTGCTGTCTATGCAGGATCAGAAAGCTCTTGGATTTCATCAAAAATATCTTAATTTGTGTTCTGAAGATGAACAAAGGTCTTACAGGTTTGGAACGACATGAGGGTGAGCAATTAATGACAGATTTTTTTTTTGGCTGAACTGTCCCTTTAAGCTTTGGGTTTGTGTTAATGAAATTCAAAGTAATCACAATTCAGCTTGCAAACATATGAAAGAAAGCAGACCAAACCAGTTCACAAACTAAATATAATGATGATGATGTCATTGCTTCCAACTACTTTTGAATACTGAACTTTATATTGACTTGTATTATATATACAGTAACATTCCGCTATACATTATATGTCAATTCAATTTTCACTTTTCTCTTAAAAATGCCAGAACGATAATGCAAATTTGAGGGGGGAATGCAATTGTGTTTTGAACAATCAATTCATAGCTGCACAGAGCATAAAACCATCAAAATTCAAAAGACATTTAGAAACCAAACACTATATTCATAAATTACCATTAATAAAAAAAAGCTTTCAATGTTTGAATATAAGAACATGTTTTGTACAATAAACAAGTTTGGTTCTGCATTGAATCACTGCCTGATGTAAAACGAAGAGTCTTGAAACTAGTCGAGAACCAGTGATACAGAAGGGAAATACTCTGGTCAACAGGGCAGGCATAGAGAGTGAGAAGAAGAAACAGGGCCAGATGTTGCCCCTGGGGCTCACTTAGTGCTTCTATTTCTTATGCATCCCCTGTGCCGGTGAGTAATTCCCCCTTGCAATATTCATAGGCAACAGCAGAGGAGGTGGCGGCGGCGGCGGCAGAAGAAGTAGGGCCTGTGGGGCTCACGGAGAGTGTACAGGGACACGATTCTGCCTCCAACACACTCACACACAGCCCTCCTGCACCACCGGCCTGCAGAGAAAAGCTCTTCCACCGGAGACCTCCAAGAGCCTTTAGATCTCCTTCTGCCAGATGTCTGCTCTTCCCTCAGCTCTGCTTTCACCTGTTTCTTTCTCACTGTGTTGGATTTTGCACATGTTCTTTAATATTTGCTCTCTTTTACTTGCTCATTTTGTAGGGAATTCATGAAATAGCTTTTTAGCCAGATGCGCAATGTAGTCAAATATATTCTCAACATCTTAAAGAGCCAATTCAGATGTCTGGTTCACAGTCTGAGTAAAGTATGTAAGTTCATGGCAGTCTGCTGCATCCTTCACAATCTAACATTCAAAAACAAACCTAAAAACTGAGTTGTGTCATAGAAATTGCGTTCAGCAATGATTCAGAGTTTTTTTGTGAAATGGGATATAAAATGAGACTGTGCATGTCATCAGTAGATGCAATTCATTGTTTATCCTTTATCTTACAGTATGTCTTCTGCTCTTTTATTTCTGTATATTAGCTCCTACCAATTATTCTTTACTTTCTGTCCCCTTAGACGCCATCTCTGTCTCTAAACACTGCCATTAGTGAAGTGTTCACAGTGTCATTGGTATTAAAAGCCTGAGGCACTTCATGCTAGGCAGATTTAATGAGAGAATATTTTTGAATTCTCTACTCATATCTAGACCTATTGAGTCAGGCTCTTCTCCTCTACACATTTTTGGTTATGTTTCTTCTCTGTCCGCCGATTCGGTCTTTCAACTTCTACATTACTCACTAGAATTTTTCAAGATTTTGACACAGGTTTAAGATCTTTTTTAACCTCACCTCATCAAATACTGGCTTGTTGTTGTTGATGTCATTGATACCAACGATGACCTGGGCGGAGCTGCTAAGGGGGAGTGGCCCACTGGCTGCATTGTCATCAGTCGCCGTGACATTGAGGACATACTGAGGCCCGCGCAGTTTAGGAGGAGGACTACGCCGCAGTTTGATGATGCCTGTAAATAATTCAATAAAATGCTTTAGCTCATCTCACTGCCCTTGTGAAAGACAAGTGCGCTTAATTATATTGAATCTGCACTTATATAATAAAATTATATTTTTTAAAAATGGTATTTGCAGATAATATAACATTAATTAAATAAAAGACCAGTTAAAGAGATTATACTTTCAAGACTGTTTCTTAACACACTAAAGTACACTTTTAAAGGGTACACTATATAATAATAAAAGATGAACTTTAAAGCTTTATTTGCAAGTACATTTTAAATCATTGATTTAATCATCTTTTGTCATACTTTAAAGTACACTTATGTGTGCTGACTAACATACTAAAGCACATGTAAGGTACTTGATTATTATTTTAAATGTAGTTTTTCAATATCAATTTCAATAGTCTTAATCATCAGAAGTACGTTATTACAAATATCATTAGAAATGACAGTAAAGGATATTTTAGTTGATCATTAAATCTGGTCAGAGCATTCAGCAGTACAAAAAAGATTTCTAAAGTTCAGCAACTTCATTTAATTTAAAAGTAAATAATAAAACTGTACATTTTAATTTAACTAAAATGAAGTAAAAATTGAGTGCCCAAAAACATTACATTCAGTTCACACTCATACACACACAGTATATTCTATTAAAGGGTATTATTTGCATAATAAGTACATAAATAAGCAAAAAGTGTACTTTGTTTTTCACAAGGGTGTACAACCAAAAGTGTCGCTGTCAAAACTGTTTATGAATACAAGCGCTTTTTTACCCAAGGTGACAACCTCTCAAAATGAAAACATTAATATCTGAAAAGATTGACAACCGCCTTTGTGCATCATGCTTAACAACATGGCAAAATGGGCTTCTTATGGTTGCACATTCACCAAACAACTGAGTAGGGGGTTGTGCGCAAAAAAAAGTGCTGCTGCATCTTTGAAGTGACAAATCCACGCAGCTTTTCTGAGTGCTGAAGCCATGGGCCATCTCTCTGCGCTGGCCTGTAATGGGCTGGGAGGTGGAACAGCCGTGCCAAGAGGCTGATAAGACAGGAGAGAACTTTAGCATACTGCTGTTTTCCAGCTCTTAGGCATAAAATGTGCTGGTAAACAAACGAAAAGCAAACACTGCAAACAAATGCAACCTTGAGACTGAAAGCGCACAGGCAGGCAGGCATGAAAACAGACAAACACTCCATTCACACACAAGTGCACACACACACAAAAAACCAAGAGCTGTAGACCAAAAACAATACAAGTGGTGTTTGCTTTTCCTACAAATACCACAAAAGTGAGTTGAATGATGGATTAAAAGCGCGTGCTGAGCAGACAGGAAGAGGAAACTCCTTTTTTAATGGCTTTGGGTGTTCTTTTTAAAGACAGCATCCCCAAGGCCTTGTACCGGATGCCTGGACGCTGTTACCAGAGCAGCGAGCTTTGAGCTTGGATCCCACTTGACTCACCCTTCTGGTTGTCCAGCTCAAAATTGCTGTCTTCGTTACCCCCAGTGATGGCATACGTTACGCTATCCCCGTCTGGGTCTTTGGCGTGCACAATGGCCACTAGCGTTTCCGGGCCAGCATCTTCTGAAAGAAAGGTTTTATATCTGTAGAAAGAGGGAGACAGAGAGAAATAGACAGACAGATCAGGCTCAGAACATCACAGACCCACCATCTGCTTCCCCTACACGGCCTCTGAAGCATATCCCAGGGTGCACACAAACAACCACGCGGTCCCTGCACTGAGAAGAACCAGCGCAAATTCTAACATAAACACACACACATACTGCAGCTCTAATGATGATATACCACCACCACCTCCTTTATGTGTCTCCTGAACTTCTATCAAGGGAGATGATGTTCTCAAATAGAGCCCTATGTGTGTGTGTGTGTGTGTGTGTGTAGACGGCTCGCTTGCTTCAGTGTGACTGTTGTCTTTCTGCTGAATCGGACTAAATGTCTGCCTCGCCTTCTGGCTACATTCAATAAATACCAGAGCTCAATAGCCTGACGCTCAGCTTTCTTGGGACCTTCTGTTTGCTTCTGCTCTGATGAATTCCCATTGTGACGAAGAATGAGTGTAAAACTGTATATACTTAGGCACTCCAAAGAGATACTAGGAAAAAAGGAAAACTAAAACTAAAATAGAACAGAGAGGTATGAAATATGTAAGTCAAATTAACATAAACTCAAATTACTATTTAATGTCCATTTATTTTATTTTTGATATATTATTTGTAGATATTATTTATATATTTATTTAAGTAGCTGTGAAATAAGTGGAATAATGTAGTCATTGCAAAATAAACACCAATTTTGAAGCCAATGTATCTTGTTGAATGAATGAAATGAATGAATGAAAATCTGCAAAAACTAATTATGTGAGAAGAAAGTGATTTGAGAGATCATTGGTCACTTATACAGTTTTGTATTTATTACATGCAAACATAAATTCAATTTTTAAATGAAAAGGTGGTAAAGCTAAATGAAATTAAAATATATATCAAGCTAATAATAGATTAATATCAGTTAATAAATTAAATAAATTAATATATGAATAAATTAATAAATAAATAAATGTTTAATTTATTATGTGAGAAGAAAGAGACTGTGCAGTGATTTGAGAGATCAATGGTTAATTATATAGTTTAAGTAGTGATTATACGCAAATATTTGATTGCAGATTGTTGTGACTGACCAATCAGAATCAAGTATTCCTGAAAGCTTTGCAATCAAAAGGAAATGGAAAACAGACAGAAAAGAACCATACATAGTTTGTGAAAAGACGGGGGCTTCATCGTTGACGTTGGCCATGCGGATTCGGATGGAGGCTGTGCCTGTGCGAGGGGGCGCTCCCTTGTCCACGGCCACCACCGTGCACTCGTACATGTGGTTGGGTCTTTCATAGTCCAGCCTCTGACTGGGGCTCACCACTCCCTGAGATGAGATGTCAAAGTCCACACTCTGGATGAAGTAGGACAGTTCTGCATTCAGGCCCATATCACAGTCCCGTGCCAGAACTAGAAAGAGAGAGAGAGGGACGAAAGAGCCATGTTAAACTTCATGTCACATTGACTAAAGGCAACAGCTAGCAATAACATAGCAGTAAATTGTGGTGAAGGCAACCTTGGTGGAGATCTGCTCTGGGTCAGGCACTGAAAACAAATCAGTTCTTAATCATCTCTATGCTTTTCTCAGACAGGCCTGGAATGTTCTGATATGGGGGTATTCACTATCAATTACAAGCTTTAATGTCACTATGACCATTGCTTGTTTGAGGATGGATTTGTGTGTGTGTGTGTGTGTGTGTGTGTGTGTATAACACCGTGTCCTAACCATGCATGTACATGTTTCCAGTGTCAAGTAATTTGAAGTGACAAATTCAGCCAGAAGATACTTAATGTTTAATTAAATCAAAAGAAGAAAATAAGGAATTGCATTTTACATTAAAAAAAAAATTGGGGGCATGGGGGTTATTTATTTATTTATTTATTTTACAAATTTGCATTTAGATTTAGTAAAATATATATTTAAAACATATTGAAGTTAAAATATAATGACAAATGAAATTTAGCTAAACAACTAAAATAATAATAAAATCATTTGACACACAACCAAAGGGTAAAAGATTTGTACATGTTTTTGAATCAAAAGCCTGTTATGCTCACCAAGGTTGAAAAACATACTGTGGAATATTATTCTAATAAAAAAACAGTTTTCTATATTAATATATTTTAAAGCCACATGTAATGTAATCAACAGAAATAAATTATATTTTAAAATACAATATATTAACAATATATTATTTTTTACATTTTAATAATATTTCACAATATTGCAGTTTTTACTATATTTTTGATCAAATAAATGCAGCACTGGTAAGACACTTTGTTCAAAAACAACAACAACAACAAAAAAATCGTAATTTATAATGAAATAATGACTTTCGGTAGTATACTGTATATACATAAAATTATATATACAGTATATATACAAAACTCTCAATATCATATATACAGTATTTATGCAGTTAGAACTTCTTGTGCTAAGTGCTTTTTAAATTGTATACGGTGTCATATTAATAGAGCCAATATTAATTACAACTATGTAGCAGAGGCCAATTCTATATTTGATCAATTTAAGTGCCCATCTGTCAGTGGCATGGCGAAAAGCTGCTGTTGACTGAAGCAGATCAAAAGTAAAAGTGGAGGAAGGCTTTGCTGTCATTAGGCACACAGCCAAAGTCAGGGTCCTGTATCATTATACTGCAGGCAAGCTGTCATCACACCCAGTCAGCCAGCATACTCATTTACTACAGCCACATGACGGCTCTCCAATCTCCAAGGCAAATAGCTAGTGCCCACAGATGTAGCGATGTTCAGCAGAAACCCCTTTTCTCTCGCAGTTAAGCTGAGGACTTGTTACGGCTGTTGGAAGCAGGTGGGTAAGGGTGGGTGTCAGCGCCCCACACGAGTATAAACAAGTTTCGGAGCAGCCGTGAACGCATGTGAATTCATACGGCCAGGATTCAAACAGAAGGTTCATTAAAAATACAAGTCCTAATACACTGTCTCTTAGGGCTACCTATTACCATATTTAATGCATGCGAGTGAGAGACCAGGGCTAAATTAAACATACCAGTTAGGCGGCTTGGGAGAGAGAAAGAGAAAGGCTGGTGGACTAAGGTTGGGCAAGTTTTAAGTGCGTTGCTTCGCCATGCGCTAAATCCTCTCTGAGAAGTCTTCCGTGTGATAATTAGAGTGCATTCTGCACTTCTCTTCCTGCTAGGCCCTATTAAAAGCCGGCACCCAATTTACAGTCTAATCCTGTTTTAAGGTAAACAACAATAATAATCTCTCCCTTCTGCCAGGCTTCGCACAGTCAACGATTGCGCCGTGTTTTTCTTTTTCCACTCACAACAGAACACATTTGATAAGAAAATAACATCCCCAGCTGGTGCTTGTGTGAACCTGCTGCTTTTACATGTTGAGAGCGAGAGAAAAAGAGCGAGGGAGACGAAACGAGAAGAGAAAGAAGACACAGAGACAGAAAAAGAAAGTTGCTTTGCGTACCGCACTAAAACAGAAGAGCCAACTGGAATCAGAGGCAGGAACCATTCTGTTTGCATATGGTGAACAGTCCTTGTTTTCACTGGGTGCAGCGATATGTAAACATAATTGAATTGCATAAATGCAGTTGGCATTCTAAATTTGTGCATCTGCCCCAAAAAGCGTGCGGTCTGCCAGATCTGACTCATTTCTGTTGCTTGTTGCTTTGCTTTTCTCTCTTTTCTGCTTCTTTCTATCAGTGTCGTAGGCTTGTGCATAACAAAGTCCAAATTAAGAATAGTTCATCACTGAGAATTCTGCGGAGAAGGCGAGGAGCTCTTTAAAACGGTGGGCAGCCCTGGGGCATCGCAGAGCTTTTCGATCTGTGATGAGCACTGGATGAGAAGAACTTCCTGGCTGCTGAGCACAAAGCTTCTGTTTGATACTAAGATAACTATTAGATTGGAGATTGTTAATAAAAAAAGGACACATGCATGTACTCACACATACAGTCGAACAGGTACAGATCATGGCCAATTTTACTGAACAAGACATTTGTGCATAAATTTAGCCTTTTTAAAATTTAATTTCACATATATTTATGTTGTAGTTTTTCATTGTCTAAGCCAAAATTAAATCTGTTCATCATATAAAGCGATATTATCTCTTTTTACAAAACTTGAATTAAACTGCTCAATTCAACCTCTAAGTTTTGGTTACCTGCACTTTTAATGGAGTGACAGAAACCTCTCAGGTTTCATTAAAACATATCTTAATTTGTGTTTTGAAGACTAAGCAAAGTCTTATGGATTTGGTACAATGTGAAAGTAAGTTCATTTTTGGGTGAACTGTCCCTTTAATAATGAGGGTTAGAGGTTTGTTCAAATCCCAAACACTAGCTATGAGCAACACTAATAGTAATGCCTGTCTTAGCAAGCACCACTAATTAGGGCTTATGAATATTTATTCAAACAACTAATGCACTCAAATCTCTTTCTGAAATGCAACACGACATCTCGTTCATGTTTATTTTATGCTTCTAAAACACCTTCAATTATTGCGATATGATCACAGATGGGGCTGGCACAGAGAGATAAACAGGTCCCTTCCCATTAACACTTGTATTTTAGAGAAGGAGGTCAGGCATGCCTCTTCTTCAGAGCTGCCTTTCACTATCAGACATGATTATCTGAAGAAAATGGAGGGGGTCGTAGCCCCCCACCTGGCCACATCCGTTGCCACAGTGGAGATCTCACCTCTATTGCTGGGTCACAGTCTCCAACCTGTGGTTATAGAGCCCACAACGTCAGAAAAGACACAACATGGAGCGTTGATGGTTTTACTAGTTTGACAGAGCTAGTCAGGAGGAAGAGAGATTGGAAAGGAGAGGAAGACGGGGGCAGAAAAGCTTATCTGCCTGGAAGCCACCGAGGTGGCTTTGATTACAATCCATTTACCACCCAGAAAGCGCTGCCATAATGAATTATTTCATAATTACAGAACTGAGTTGAAAAGACATTCACTCTCGCAGAGCAAGCGGCAACAGCATCTGGCTCAAGAGTGGGACTGCCGGGGGAAAAACACGGACAGAGAGAAAGAAAGTGAGACGGACACAGAGATAAATCGAGAAACAGACACTCACCCTGCAGTAAGGATGTGCCAGTAGGGGTGGTCTCAGGGACATTGTCTCGACTGTAAATGGAGTGCATAAATTCTGGTGTGCAGTCATTCTCATCTGTGATGTGAACCACCACCTGCATAAGTAAGAGAACGAGACAGAGGAAGAAACATTATTATGTGGACAAGTATTAAAGCATAAACAGTTAGTCCCCAAATAAAGTCTCCTCCCAAACACCCACACAGCTTTATCACTTTATAGTCTATAGATTTTAGTCAGGTCTTTAAAGCAACAAAATGACTAGTTATAGATAATACTAGTAATAGATTTCACTGACGGGTAAGTGCAGAGGCATTAACCATCAATTTTTCTGTCTTTTAAAGAATTATAAGAACATTAATGCACAAATAAAAATGTTTTCCACAACGTTGACAGATTAAAAAAAAAATTAATAAAAATTTAAAAATAGTATCTGTTTGATTGTGTTAAATGTCCTCAACATACTTTAGGAACAATCAAATAAATAAAGGATGCTAAGAGGCATTAGATTTGAAGACAAAGGGAGTAAATCTGGAGTTTTAAAGTGACCAGCAAAAAAATATAGATGAGAGAGACGAAGTGTGGACACATTTACCACTGTTCTGACAAATTTTGTGGATTAATTAATTTTTTTCACATGAATTTGCTGCACTGACCGACAGTTTGAAAGTGACTTCTGGGTGAACAGTGCTTCATGCATTACTACGCTATTTCCAGTAGAATTTCACTGAAATTTCATTAATGAGAACACTAAAATAGCTCTTGCCACAGAACTTCTTGTGATGCTGGATTCAAAATGCCAAACAGAACAATGCTGAGAGATTAAAACAGAACATTTGCAAACCAGCTCATCAGAATGATATATAATGATTATTTATATCAAAACCTCTGTGCACATACGCTCCTTACTGACCTTCAAGGCAAATTTCTTATGGCTGCATAATGATTACAAACATGCAAATATGTATAGCATTGTGAGAGTAAGTGAGCTACAAGCAATTATTATTTATCACTTGATTGATTGGTTTGAAAACTTTCTATTTTTTTCTATTTTATTGTTAAAATTCAGTAAATGACAGACAATTTAAGGAAAAAAAGGAAGAAAAAGTTATTTGGTCAACCAGCTTCTTCAGAAAGATGGCTGACCTCAATATTTGCATGGAAGGCAATCTTTAAAACAAGGATAAAACCCTGCATGAGCATGGACAAATTTAGTGTCCTGAGTCACTTGGCTTTCTGGAGGCTTTCGGTTAAGAACGGAGGCATAAGAGAGAGGAATAACATTAAAAGAAGAGACAGAAGCAGAACAGAACAGCTGTGGCAGAAGCCACTGAATGCAAATGGCTCAACCACCCCACAAACACACACATAAACCCCAGTCAAACTCAGTGTGTAGACTTTAATGTAGCAGATCTCAGCTGAAGCTCAGATGATAGCTTATGGAAGGGCTGTATCTACATTCAGGCTTCTTTCTGTGCAGTGATTTGTGAGCATTGAGACAGGATACGGGCACAGGATTTGACTTTGACCGAACAGAGGCAGAGGGAAAGCAGGGTACGTGTTCTCAGTGGGAGCGTTAGTCATGGTGAGGGTGAGTCCCGCAGAACTGCTTATCTCAGAGGAACAGCACTGCCAAGAGGGAAGTTCCTTACACGTAACACACACGGCACCATAGCTGACCATACAGCTCTGAAACCGTCAGACCAGAGCCTTGCAAACCCATGTTGCTCTGCATTATGGGTTTCTTTTTCTCTCCAGTTGCCCCTCAGGAATCTGCCCAATGAAAGAGAATTTTCTGTGTTTGTTTCATAGCTGTTGGAAGTTGAATATGGCAGTAATGAGTCTGAAGTCTGCTGCTGGAGGAGAAACACTGCTAATAACAACAACAACGGGGGTCTAAAAGAGATGAAGTGTCTTAATGTAGAGCTTTATGAAATCATTTTTCACATGCTAAGAGGACAGACGCTCATTCTTCGCTCCTTTTTTCTTTTCTTGTTTCTTCTAGTCTCCTCCCCTCTCATCTCTTATTTTCTCTTCTCTGTTTCTTCTTTTTCTTCATCTAATCCCATCTAGTCTTATTTCCTCTCATCTTTGTCTTGTTTAGTCTCTTCTCTTCTCCTATTGTCATTGACTCAATTTTTAGTCTTATTAAATTTTTTAGCCTCTTCTCTTCTGGTTTCACCTTGTCTCTTTTCTTCCCCCCTTGCCTTGTTTAATCTCTTCTCTTCTCATTTGATCTAATTTCTTCTTTTTTGTCTCTTCTAGTCTCATCTCTTCTCTTGTACTCTCATTTTGTCCCATTTCTTCTTTTCTAGTCTCTTTTGTTCTCATCTATAGCGTCATCTCTTCTCATTACCTGACCTTTCATCTTGTCTTTTCCTGCTGTCTCATCTCAACACATTTAGTCTCTTCTCGTCTCATCTCATTTAATTTTCTTGTCTTATCCCTCTTGTCTCATTTAACGTTCTTATCTTTTTGTCTTGATCTTCTTCTTCTTCTTGTCTCCTCTCTTCTGGTCTCACCTTTGTCTTTTTCATCTCTTATTGTTTTATAATCTTCTAATTTCTTTATAATAACTTTTCATCTGGTTTCATTTAATCTTTTCTGGTCTCTTTTGATTTGTTTTGTCTCAACTGATCTCCTCTCTTGTTGCATCTCATTTCATCTCTTTTTCTTTGCTAGTCTCGTCTGGATTTTTTGTCTAATCTCTTCTCTGTTCATTTAGTCTTGTCCATTCTAGTCTCTTCTGGCCTTGTCTCTTATCTTCTCCTCTTCTCTCATTTTGTTTTGTCTCATCTCTGTTCTAGCCTGTCCTACTCATGGAGTCGTCTTCACAGATGGTGTAATCATTTGGCAGGGGACAGTGACTCTGACAATTATCTAAAATGTGCGAATGTGTGTGTGACCGGAGCTGGCGCAGACACAGTTACACTTCATTGTGTCTCAGCCAAGTCCATCAAGATGACTCAATTATTGTGGAGGAACTTCTGCCAAACAAAGAAGATCAACATGGAACAACAACAGTGTGAGCAACACGCACACACAAATGGATATATTTTTAAACCTCTAATAATGGCAATAACAACACAATGTGTAAAATACATCAAACATCTGTCATATTTCTTTGCCTTTTTCGCTTCACTTCATCTTACACATAAAAACACATGCACCGCTAAGTCTCATAAGTGGTAACAGCCACAGCTGTGGCGTGTTTGATAGCCTCAGTGCCACACACAATCTCTCATTAGAGCATTTCTGCTGATATGTGCTTGCATTTGTTTGTGCTTGCGTATGCCTTCATGCATATGTGTGCGTGTTATTGTGTGTATCAAAGCATATCCACCTTTTACCTCTGAAAGAACCAGATCTGGTTACCTACAAGGCCTCGAGGTGAAGAATGATTGACAGCCACACATACAGCATCTACATGTCAGGCTTAAGACAGTTTATCTTAGTAGGCATGTGAGTAAAACCAATGTTTAAGTGGGAAAAGAACAAGACGACAAAAAATCAAGCATGTTATATTGTACTTCTGTGCTAACTGTACTTTTGGACATAAAAATGGTTGAAGACCAAGGGAAAGCCCCGTTTAGATAAACATGTGCTTACTTCTGCCATGTTGCTCAGTCCTGTATCTGGTTCGGAAACTCTGACTTGCAGGTGATGGAGATGTTGTCCACTCTCAAAGTCCACAGTGCGTGTCAGGCTGAGTGCACCACTCTCTCGGTTTATGCTGAACAGGTTGCTTGGGTTCACCAGCAGCATATAAGACAGAGTCTTCCTCTGGAAAGAAATAGCCTGGACCACCGCCACCCTACAGACACATCAAGGAAATAGAATCAGTGCACAGGCCAGCATTTCATTTATACACTATGTATCCTATGGGAGGATGGAAACTACAGTTCTGTTCCAAAACATTGTGAGCTACCTACTGAGACAGTATTTAATCATATAAAAATTATGTATTAAAAATACATAATTAAATATGGATTATTTCACACAATACTTGTGTGTACAATGTACAATACCATTTAAAATGCTGGAATTAGTAAGATTTTTTAATGTTTTTGCAAGTAATCTCAAAAAGAGTTATTTAATACTGTGAAATAATATTATAGTTTAAAATAACTGTTGTCTATTTTAATAGATTTTAAAATGTAATTTATTCCTGTGATGGCAAAACTGAACTCTGAATCAGCAGTCATTACTCCAGTCTTTAGTGTCACATGATCCTTCGGAAATCATACTGATATGCTGATTTGGACCTAAAAAAAACATGTATTATTATCATTATCAATTTCACAAAAACAGTCGAGCTGGTTAATACGTTTGTGTAAACCATGATACTTTTTTCCAGGATTCTTTGATGAACAGAAGTAAAAAAAAAAAACTTTTTTTGACAGAAATCTTTTGTAACATTTTTATGTCTTTACTGTCACTTTTGATCAGTTTAATGCATCCTTCCTGAAAAAAAGTATTAATTTCTTTAAAAAGGTGCACTTTTTAGCTTAGCAAGATGCTAACATTAAACTAATGTATTTAATTTAATTCTCATACGCTTCACATGAGAAGTACTGCAGATGTTGCACTGATGTAAAGCGTTTCAAACTAGCCATTAATTTTTAGCAGCAAGAAAACTCACAAAATACAAAATATTTTCAAAAGCAACGGCCAGATTTGTCAGTAAGCCACCCCAAAAAAAAAGCCCATTAGTGGCCAAAATTCAGTGACCTGGCAACCTCCTGCCACACAAATGCTGCCAGTGTAAACAAAGCTTTAGAATGCAGCTGCAAGGCAACTTACAAGATTTTAGAAAAGGGCTACTGTCTCTACAGTTAAAAATGGGAAATAATGCATGTCTGAGATATCTCAGTTGTTCTTTGAGGCTCGCGTCCCATGTCATCTCCCCCTTCCACACTCTTTAACTTTAATATGTCTCTCTTTTCCTCTCTTTTTAATATGTCTCTCTTTCCATGATTAGCTTTTCTCTCCTCCTTCACACAGATTATTATGCTCAGTTCTGTGCCAGTGCCCTAAGGGGGAAGTTCAGACACTGCTCTTCATGTTTATCCAGAAGTTTCTTTTAATAAATATTTGAATTTGAGCACGCTTTCAAATTCAGAGCCTGGGGACAAAATGATGCATCTGTGTTCCCACTCTCTGCCACAACCTCCTCTATTCACTCTGTCCCCCCTCTTTCAACCTCCACTATCCCTCCGGGTGAATTGTTTCATGCAACAGATGACACATAAAGCTTTGGAGTTGGCCACGTTCACACAATCCTTCCCTTACCCTCTAATGAGCAGCAAATTTTGAATCTTTTTACATGTTGACACACACAAACACGGCCACTAACACACAGCTTCCTGTACTCACGCTTGGCCCACCCCAATGCTCTCTGGGTTGTAGATCGTATAGGTGGTGTTGGTGAACTGAGGGGGCCGAAAGCCAGCTAGTATGAACACAGAGGCATGCGGACCCCTCCTGCCCTGCGAGTCCACAGCCTGGACGGTCAGTGTGTACTCCTTACTGGGGGTCAGAGGTCGCCCTGTGGTCTTCACTTCTCCTGTTGCTCTGTCCACTTCAAATGAATCTTCTCCACCTGTCACAAAATACACACCCAATTAATGTAGCAAATAAAAAAATAAATTCTAACGGCAATATTTATAAAATATATTTTAATATTAAGATCTAGGTTGCTATAATTTTATTTTGTAATCTATATTTTTGTGATTTATTATTTTAAAATTATATTTATAAATGATATTGGGACCAGTGTTGTTATTGTTAGCTAAAACTAAAGCTAAAACCAAGACAACTAAAAATACTTTTCAGTATTTGAAATGAAGCTAAAAATAATAATAAAAAATAAAATAAAATAAGGCAAATACTTAAAAATATGCATATTTTTATAAACATATTAAAATACAGATTTCTGTCATTTTATTTTGTAATCTGTATATTTATGATGTATTATTTTCCAAATTACATTTACATTTTTGGCATTAGAAATGAAGATGCAATAAAATAAATAAAATAAATAAAAATAAATAAAATGTTAGATAAAAAGGGTAAACTTAAACTCAGAAATGTTGCACTAACTGAAATAAATTAATTTGTAGTACTAAATTTAACAATCAAAAGTTAAATTAAAATTAAATTAAATTAAAAAATTTACTAAAAATATAAAAATTAAACATAATTCAAGATATGAATATATACATTAATAGTGAATAAAATAATACTAAAATAACAATTTTGGTAAGCAGAATCTAATATGATTTCCTTCTTCAAAATTTTTTTTATATTTTATCCAGTATATTAAGACACATATTATAGGGACATGAAAATATAGGAACAACCTGCCTAACTTAAAAAATGATGACTTATGGCATGTTACCAATTTGCAAACTAAAAACTGATGTGGCACTTGTTTATAATCATATATTAAAAGAGCAACTCTTGTAAAGTTCAGCTCAAAGTGCAAGAGCATTACAAAGACAAAGTCACAAAAGCCTTCGAGTCTTTTTACACACATTAAGTGTGAGGGACCCTTCTGCCAGCTGTGGTTCAGTGCATTTGTGTGTGTGAGGAGCAATATGCCCCCCTCCGTTCCTGCTTCAGGACAATAGCAAGACAAGAGTTCATTTTAACCACTGTCCCCTTGAGCATATCGTTATTTGGGAGTTGAGGAAGAGGAGGTGGATGAAGAACACAGCTGCTGAGGCAGAGCAGATCTCCCAGCTGTACCCGCCTCGCCTTGCCCTTTCTGCAGCTGCTTGAATGCTCATCTGCTACGAGCAGAGGGTCTGATCCAGAATCACGCTTGATTCTGTTCTTACAAGTAGGGATGCGCCAATCCGATATTCATATCGGGTATCGGCTTCGATAGTGCCATTTTTCTCGGATCGGGTATCGGTCAGAGAGAGCCGATCCAAATCCGAGATTTTTTATTTTTTTTTCAATTGTGCGAATGATTCTGTGTTACTTCTGAAGCCATACGATAGCTTAATGTGAGCTACATATGAATATTTAAGTCCTTACATTAAAGTTCATACAAACTCTTTTCTCCGCTGTGGCTGTCAGTCATTCATTCAGCCTTTAAACCCTGGTCGCGTTCGGTTACAGCAGTCAGCTCGGTAAAGCTCTCTCCAAGATCATTCTGTGTTCCCATTAGGGATGTCAATTTTCGATCATTTCCATGATCGATCGTCGTTGAAATTAACGATCAATTAATCGATTAATCGTTAACTTTAATGCAGCAAAATGCATCTATTGCAGCAGCACGCAGTCACCGACATGACAGGATGTGCAAAACCCACTCAAAAAAACCCCCCGCTTTCTCACCCGAATTAAAAGGGTTTTAGTCTGAATAAAATGCTAGCAGCAGGATTGTAAAATGAATAGATGTGATTATGATCATTTGATAAAATGAAGAGAGCTCATTTGAGATAATTTTACTTTGTTGGCTGTTTCCTATCCCGACGCGGAGACCGCTGAACGCGCCTCTTTAAATGGTTTCGTGGTGCTCGTTATTGTATTTTAAAACACTATTGCAATGTTTTCAACTGACATTATGGCATTTAAAATAAAATTATCCCAAACGTAACTGTGGCGCGTGTGGATGTGCTGCGCAGTCAGTGAACCGCTTCCATCGGCGCTGCTGCAGCAAAACACACTGTTGCTCACATGAAACATTTTTATGTGAGTATTATGACCAGTACTTAATTTGATCCTGCTGGATCCTGTTCAGGAAAATGGCAGATTTTTTATTTTTGCGTTCCGGTAGGCCTAATTGTTTTTAAAAAATCCGGCATTTACAGTGCATTAGATCGTGACAGTGCATGCGTGCATACGAGACGAAGCGAGCGCGGGCTTGGATAGATGTATTTGGAGGTTATTACTCATGTCTCATTCGGCACAAATCCAAATGTTTCCATATTCGCAATGTATTTGAATGTTAAACTATTATTTATAATGTAAACTAGGCTTGTACTTTGCACGCATTCACATATAGACGGAAAAGATCATCCTCTTCACATGAGCAAAAAAGTCCTTGGCATAACAGCAAAGTGGACCGGTATACTACGGTCTATTAAAACTGACCAGTGTAACCTTTTATATGTTTGATTGACTATTTTATTTTGATAATGAACAGAATGTAAGTTTGTGCGCGCGAGGCGCCGGTGCGATCGAACAGCTGAAACATAAAAAACGTATGCATAAAATGCTTTTGCTAAATAAAGCAAACAAACAGAATGCGCGTTGTCATCCTTTCCTTTCCGTGAACTTGTTTATGGAGCGCCACGCCACACTTCTGTTTTAAATCTGTTAGCTTAATTACTTAAGTCAGATATATTTAGCTTTTTTTTTTATGAAAACAAATTGTTATTTTTATTTTAGGCCTATTACTTACATAGGCTATACATTTTCCTTAAAGCATCCCATTTTGTCCCAGGGCTTGGAAACCTGTGCCTAGGCTAGTTAGGTCCTACAGAAACTTGTGAACGATGCTCTTAGTTGTGGCATCACCGTTTAGTGACAGCATTGAATGCTTTGGGAAAACTTGTTGTCAGTGTCGGTCACAGCGCCTTTTAATTGCTGTTTTGAATCCAGCAATTATTTATTTACAAATTATAAACTCTGATTATGACAAGTGTGGTATAAAAGCTTTGTTTATTAGAGGAATATTTGGTTAGCTGGAAAATCTTACATCGCGACCATGCTTTTTGATGCTGTTTGAGCCCATATAAGCCTACATTCATGCTGCTTTGTTCTTGGTCACGAATTTCCACAAATTCAATCATATTTAGGCATTGTTTCTTTTCCTAAATCCTCACCATCTAACCCTCTAATTTCGCAGGTTTATTTTATTGTCATTCACTTTTTATCACTGTTTTCGCATCTCTTACTGTGGTAAACATGTGGAAGGGAAATTAAAGATTGCATGGCCATGAATTAAGAATTTGTTCGGTATTAATTTGTTCCCTCATTTTAGTTAAATCATGGGTTAAGGAACAAAATTAATGAAACATGGACAGTGGCCACAAGTTGTAGGAATTAATCCTTCCGAATGATGATGCAAATATGAAACAAGTATCTGTGGAAATGACTGTTACTACATTTCTATAGCATTCCATGTTGAAGAACTTTGTGTTGTTTCTATTTTAATGTACTTTTAAAGTTTAAATCACATTAAAAGCTTAATTTGTAATTATGAGTGAATGAAACCCTGGTCGCGTTCGGTTACAGCAGTCAGCTCGGTAAAGCTCTCTCCAAGATCATTCTCTAGTTCCATTATACTTGATTTGTAAATACATGTCTATGATTTTGTAAAAAGGACTTTATCTTCTTGCCGGAGTTTAATGTTGTTTTGTTACTTGCTACCGGGTGTCTGTGAGAACAAAACACGGGCGTAGGAAATACTAGAATTTGTTTTTAACGTGCACAGTAACTGGAATTTAAAACTGTTAAAAGTAAGGCTCAATAACTGTTGCACAGATATAATACACTACTATGGTGCCCGAGAAGTGCAAAACAAATCACAATTCTGAAAACAAAATAACAAATTACAAACGCAAATGCAAGTCTAAAAAACTAAATAACAATTCAGAAAACATTATAACAAGTCAGAAAACACAATGATAAATTTGAAAACAAAATAACAAGTCAGAAAACACAAAGACAAATCTAGTCTAACTGACAATGAATGACATTCACCTAAAAGACAGATCAAATACTTGGAGGAAGAGCGCTATAGGCAACAGCACCAAAACACAGAGTTTATAAACATCTGAGTGTAATATCACCGGAGACAGAATATTTATAGCATTCTAAATCCTTATGGACCAGAGAAGTAATTTTGTAATGTCACAACATATCAGATGATGAATGACTAACCATTATGAGAGGTTATGATGTTTCTGAAGATGTCCTGGAGGTACAATAAAACTAGTACGGCACACCTGTCCCAAAGCACACATACACTAACACATATACGGGCAGATCAGAATTGTATGTTTAAATATTGTTTAGTCTGATTGCTTCTGACTAATTAGACAGAATTCTAATCATGCCTCAGATTCATTTAACCTTTGTATCTCTCCGTGCACTAAATGAAATCTCTTAAACACGAGTGAATAACTATGGAAAAGGCATGGATTACATTAGTGACTTAGCATTTTATGCCATTTCTATTACAGTGTTAACCAACTGGCTGATAAAAAAGCCACGCCATTGCCATTGTTTCAAAATAAAAGCATGTGGTGTCCATTATGATTTCATGGCAAACTGCGAAAAAAACCTTGATATTTCCTGTCAGTCTTTCCTGTCACTCTCAAACCTGAGCTAAATATTCTATCTAAACTATTTCAGTTTCAAGGGGTTAAAATTATTGACCATTTAATGCATGTCTGCATGTGAGACATCAGTCTAATTCCCATTCCATCTAAAGTGGGCCAGCGTTTTAACTAGCAGAATGATTGTATTGACAGTTTTCTGATTATCAAAGAGTCCGCCCATCAAACCCACCATCAACTAAAAAGAAGTGAGCTGTTCCCGCGTAGTCATCTCCACTTTGGACCACGAGCTTGTAGACAACAGAGCCAGCACCAGTGTCAGGACCTACAGCTGCCAGGTAGGGGTAGGGGAACATGGCCCACTGCACATCTGACAGGTTGGGGAGGGTCAGAGTCAGCCAGCACAGGTACCATTCATCACCTACAGAGTGAGAAACAGACAAATATGATTTTAATTTATCACATACCAAAAGCACTTCTTTCACTTGTTTATTTTGGGATATTGTAGAAGTTAGCATTACAATACGTAAAATAACAATGCAAATCTACTTATAAAAAGTTAATTCAGTTATTTATCAGGAAAAAATATAAAAATAAAAAGATTCACAAAATGTATGTTTTTTTGTTATGTATTTTATGCATTACAAAACAGAAAATAATGTAGGTCTGCCTAGTTAATTCAGATATTTATCAGGTAAAAGTATAAACCTAAAGGAAAATGTAGATTTGTAATGCATTTTATGCATTGCAATACATGAAATAATGTAAGTCCCCATAGGAAAGTAAAATCAAAAGTGAGATCTCTTTAACATCTCAAATATTTCTCCTAGACAGAAATGAGGTCACTTTAAGATCGAATGGAGATTTTTGCTTGAGTCTCTTGCTTCTCAAACTTGTCTCCTGAGACAAAAACTCTAACACTCTCACATTTGTCTCATTTAAAGCTTTAGAATAGAGTTTTCTCTTTAGCTAAATAATCTGGGGGTCTCATATTTGTTTCCTGTAAAGCTTTAGAAGAGATCTCAACAACTTTACAAAGTGTGCATCAAGTGAAGTACCTGAAAGGCACTAAATAAAGGGGGGGACAGGGGCGCGGGAAGATGTTTTCGGTTGGGGGTGCTGTGTGTGTCCGTGTTGGGTGAAGGGGGGGGGGGGGGGGGGGGGTCATAAATTCAGAGTTAAAGAATAAAGAGAAATTATGCAGAAATAAGGATAATATTACTTTTTATAAGACAATGTTTATGTACTTGGGCACATAATTTGTTGTTGGAAATAGTAATGTACCGGATGCCTTAATCAAAACTGATCTACAGAAAATGTAACCCTGGAGCTTTCTTTGCTGAAAGGCACATACATGGCTTATGACTCAGTCTTGATTATTAATTGACTAATTTGATTATTAATACATATTATATGGTAGACATGTTTGAGCTCATATTGAGGCATTTGACTTGGTGCACACTTTGTAAAGTTATTGAGATCACTTCTGAAATTTATAGGAGACAAATGTGAGAAGCTCCCAAGTCTTTAGTGTGGGAGAAAAATCTGAGCACAGTGTGTGATGTTGTTGAGATCTCTTCTAAACATTTGATAAAACATAAGTGAGAGCTCCATCGTCTCTAGCTAAAGGGATACATCTGAGCACAGTGTGTGATGTTGTTGAGATCTTGTTTGAAACTTTGAAGGAGACATATATGAGACCACCAGAGTCTTTAGATTAGGAGAAAAATTTGAGCACAGTGTGTGATGTTGTTGAGATCTCTTCTCAAGCTTTAAAGGAGACCATTGTGACAGTGTTAGAATTTTTGTCTCAGGAGACATGTTTGAGAAGCAGGAGACTCAAGCAAAAGTTTCCATTCAATCTTAAAGAAACCTTATTTCTGACTAGGAGAAATATTTGAAATGTTAAAGAATGTTTTATTTAGTTTTTCTTCCCTCTGGTTAGCTTCAATGTCATTTATCCACACCATTTCAATCAAAGACAATACATGCCTTGTCATATTTGAAGTTGTTTTATGTTTTATTGCACAATGATTTAACAGAGGAAACCATAACCTATATTTACATACATGCAAAAATGGGCTGTACAAGACAAAATTTTAATGCTAAAAAAAAAAACACTGGTACACTGGTATAGTGTTACATTTGTTAAAAAAGGTATTGCTCTTATACTTAACATCTTGCACTTGTAAGTCCTTTCTAGTGTGTTTGGAAAATGTGGTGTAGCCTATATACAATGCTGGACATTGAAGATAAATTTAAACATTTATACTATAACCCTTGATATTCTGAAATGTTTAATGCTATTTAAATGATAGTTTTTGTATTTACAATATTAGTAAAAGTTTAACGTTTCTCCTAAAATAAAACTGAAGATGTCTTAAGCCAAAGCCATAGCCTTGTGGGCAGCACATCAATGTGAAGACACAACTGTACCTCAGACAACATGGGTTCAAATCCCAGCTAAACGTACTTTGCTGCTTCTGTTCAATTCTTGTCTGTCCAATTGTTTCCTGTCTCTACTCCTACGGTCCTAACCGTTAAAGGTGAAAACCCCCATTGCAATCAAATATGCAACCTCTAAATAGTAAAACATCTTTATAATGGAGTCTTGCAAGAGATTACAGAAAGACAATAAAGAGATCTCCCATTTTCATTTTGGATTAATTTTTTTCAGAACTTTCTCATGTCTCAGTAGTGTCTAATTTTATTTCTCCTAAGGATTTTTAGGAGAAAAATCTGAGACACTGTTGAGACTAAAGACATGAGAAATACATGAGAATCACAACTACGTCTCCTGAGGTTAGAAAGAGCAACCACTGAGCAATAAAATATTCCTAATGGAGTCTTGATAGAGATTGTGTCATTTGTGTCTTCTATGTTTCTTCCACCACATTCTCAGTTTTCACTCTTTTTTTCTCAAATATTTCTCATGTCTCATTTGTGTCTACTTCCATTTCTCCTAAGGAATTTTAGGAGAAACATCTGAAATGCTGTTGATACTAAAATGAGAGATATATGAGAATCTCATCTAAGTCTCCTGAGCTTAGGAAACGCAACACTGAGAAATACATTTTTTCCTATGGGTCATCTTGAAAAAGTTCATTCAGTTATTTATGAGATTTTCAAAAAACTTTTTTATCTTCTGTAAGTTTAATTAATTAATTAATTATTGTAAGTAAGATACATTAATAATTATTTTAAATGAGAAATTCCTTTATTATGGGAGGAATCAGAAACTACTGTGGTCTCAACGGGAACTGAGACTAATTAAGAACTTGGGCTGGAAATCATAGCATAGCAACACCTTAGCAACAAATAGCAATGATAAAACATTTTTTATTATTGCTATTATTATTATTATGCGATTAAAAATCTTTTTGTACATTTTTTTGAAACAGGTGAAAAACAGGCATAAAAACCAAAAGTACAGTTCAATCAACTGAGATGAGCAAAAACATGAGCAACTAATTAATCCAACAATAGGCCCTAATAAGAGAAATTCAAGGCCTGTCATCTTCCCTCTCGTGATACTCTGCTTGTTTTATCCCTTTCATTGTCTTCTTTTTGGAGGATGTTCATAATGCTTTTCACAATCTCTGTAATCTCAGCAAAAAATCCCAAACACATCTACCGAGCTGCAGTGTTGCATCTATAGCCCCTGAAAGCACATCATCTAATCTCAATACCAGCCAAAAGAGCAGGACGGATAGAGAAAGCCTTCAGCCACCCTGAGTTCAGCTGTCATTCAGCCTGAGGACGCTCGGCTACAAGAGAGAAATTACATTTCTGTAGAACACATCATCTCTGACTTCCCCTGTAGGTCCTGAGGAAGTTTGCTGTCAGAGACACGATCTGCTCCCTCAGACGGCCTCAGAAGATCAGACGGAGAAAGAAAGGACTTAACAGAACAGAAATATATTTTTTGGGGGTGTTTTTGTGTTCTCTTTTCTCTGTTGTATGTTTGTTTCCAGACTTGCATCGTGTTGTTTTTGACATTTCATGCAAAAGCGAGACAAGAGTGAGAATAAGAAAAACTTCACATCTAAGCACCTCGTCGAGAGGGAACATACTACCGTTACCCTCACTTCCTGTTTTTCATAGCCATGCTTTGGAGTATGTCAAGAGAGACTGATTGAGGGAGATGCAAAGAAAAGACGAAAGACACAACGAGAGCAAAAGAGATACAAGGGTCGGGGGTTTGGGTGTCTCGCCTCTATGTTTCCACGTCTCTATGCTGTGATCATCTACGGAGGCAGGATGTGTCGTGCAAATGAATGGACTGGAGCTCACGTTGAGAAGCCAGTCAAATAGATAAAACCACATCAATGCAAGCAGAGCAAAAACACAAACCAACAAACCCCCACAGATCACTGCACATGTTAAAGTCAACAAAAAATTACATACTCTATGCAAATACATGCACATCCTGTCAAAGCTGCTGTTGGTGTAATCAAATTCTGTGGCTGTCCACTTGCCACTGTGATTCACTGATGTTTGATGATAATACAGATAAATTATCAGTGGTCTACATGACTGAACCTAGCAAGATGTATGCTGAATACATGCAGAAATGTATCCAAATGAAGGGACTTTGGCTTTAGCAACACGGCAAGCAACAGAATAGTAATGCCTTACAGAATGTTTTATTACAGGATTACAATATACAGGAACTGTATATTCTAGTGAAAAGCTAATACTTAATGAACTTGCTAAATGAAATAATATTCTGTGCTAAATTTATGACAAAAGACCAAAAATATACTGTTGATGAAAATGTGATGAGAATAAATAACACTGATCATGCACTAACAATGTTTAAATGTAGATAAGATTTCTGCAAATAATATATACATCCATGTGAACATATAACCGTAACTAAATACTGTAACAACACACTAAAATGCAATATCAAAAACAGATAACATTTTCAAATAAGATTGTTTATTTATTAGATAATAATGTTTATTTATTAGATATTATTATAATACAATTATTGAATTTTGTATGTAATGTAACATTTTTATGTAAAAACGAATGTAAATTTAACGTACATTTTAATGTAAATAAATAATAAATGTTTATATCCTTTCCATATATACTCTGTTTATTGTTTATTTTTTATTTTGTGTTATTTATATTTATTTATTTATTATTACTTATTACTTATATATATATTTGTAAAATAATAAATGTTAAGTTAAAATTTCATTTGTTAAAGGAAGCTTTTTCACCAGGCAGTTCTGAATCATATCTATTTGGTCAAATTATGGCAGATGGCGTTGGTGACTTCCTGTGGAGTGAAAGGGCAGACAGACACGTTGACTCTGTCCGGTACTGTTTGTGTACTTTAGGGACCCCACATCTTCAAGCATCTCTAAAGATCTGCGTTCTCCACATGGACACACAGACCTTAGAAGC